GAATTAGCATTGTTTTGGTTACTGTTAATAAATTTTTATTACTTTTGCTATTTTTATTATTTATTCATTATTTTATTAGTCTATCCATTATTTAGGGCGGAAGTGGTGTAGTGGCAAGTGGCACGCTTACCACGCGAGCGGTCCGGGGATCAAATCCTGGGTCGTGAGTCGCCCGGGCCAACCAAGCCTTCCATCCCTCCGGGGTCGGTTAATTGGTACCAGACTTGTCTGGGAGGATAAAAAAAAACGACTCCGTTACCTTAGAGCCTGCCCCCCCCCCCCAGTATTGGATTAGGCCCCATCGCATTCAAACGTCACTGCGAAGTACAAATGGAAGTAGAATGCGTGCCGCATCCCATAAAGGGATTGATCAACGGCGAATGCTTTGCTTTATGCTTTTATCCATTATTAATTTATTTTTCTTATTTAGTTATTATTTTTTATTCATTTATTAGCCATTGCTATTTTCATCAGTCACTTATTAGCCAAGTTTAACTATTAGTCAATTCATTAATTTATTAATTATTAACAAATTATCTATTCAAAATTAATTTAGGGGTAAAAAGAGTCGACACAGTTGGGCATCTACCGTTAGAGGCTTTCACTCAAGAGAACCTGTGAAAAATTAAGATTAAAAAGCAATTTGCAGGTGTCGACGTATATGATTTGGCCGCATCGATAGGTAAAGATTTCGAGAAAATCATCGAGCTTCATGGAAATGACTGTGTCCGGGGCATTATGCCAAAGGTGGGTTTCTGATTCTCCATTTACGTTTTATTCGGTATTTCTTTCCTTTTTTCCTAATCCATATGGTTTTTTTTGAAAGTTGTTCTTTGTTTTGACTGATTTTATTGTGTTCCTTAATATGGAGATCGTTTGGGAAATGAACCGCTTTTCAAAATTATTCGTCAGTGTTTTTATCCTCCCAGACAAGTCTGGTACCAATTAACCGACCCCGGAGGGATGGAAGGCTTGGTTGGCCCGGGCGACTCACGACCCAGGATTTGATCCCGGACCGCTCGCGTGGTGAGCGCGCCACTTGTCACTACACCACTTCCGCCCTTCTTTAACATGCTTAGAAAGGAAATTAGAGCTTCGACCAGGGGACGAGAGAGAGGACTCGCTGTGGTCTTGCGAGCGCTCGATGGGGCTCTCATGGTAAAAGGTAGAGTAGATCCTAACGACACAGACGCGGTGCGCGGGGACGGTCAGGGTCATACCATTCGTTGGTATAGAAGAATTGTGCTGAAATGGGCAGAGATATGTAGAATTTCCTGTCAAGGAGTTATGTACCCTGCTCCTCTGCTCGATGCTCGACGCCATGTTGCAGCGGAAGTTGAGATGGGTCAGGTGGTCACGTAGACTGCATTAATGGACAGTCAATTTTGGGGGGGTATATACATAGGCGCCTGTAGGGAGGGCTGTCGTCAAAGCTTTAAAACCCCCAACGGACAGTTTGACAGTCTGAGGCGTTCTGCAACAACAGTGTTTATTTAAGGGTGTACTTGGAAAAATTCACACTTGCTTATAAGTCCTAATCGGGCGCAACAGTGCCTCTGGGGGGGGGGCAGTATGTGGGAAAGCCGCCAGGACAAAGCCTAGCGGAGCGGGACAAGTTCCGGATAGAGTAAGAGTTGCTTACGCACCTCGAATCTCTTCTCTTTAAAGCTTTACGTTCTGAAACTGAACCTTTCAGTGATTAAAGGAGGATTCACGATTAGAATGGAGGTCGAGGAAGAAGTAATTCACCTAGTTGAGTAACCACGGACCTCCTGAGGGTGCGAACTGATGCGCAATTCGCATCGAAAAATTTGACCTCGGCGACCTATTATGCCTCAAAGTTGGCGGGTCCGGCGATCTCCGCCCACCGACCAGCTGATCACTCGCCGCAGATCTATACGTGGGATTGATTAGATAGCAGAGAGAGCGTGATGTTGAGGAGGGCACAGCGATAAGAGTCGCATCAATGCGCAAATCAGCGGGCAAGGAAGGGGTCCCATTTCTCGGGTTCTGGGCCGTTTCTCATGGTTCTTCCTTCTTTCGTGTACCACTCACCATCCCTAGGTTAATTTGAAATGGGTTGCTTTTTCATCGTGAATTCGTCCTTTAAATCGGCTGCCCTTACCAGAGCACTTGGCCGACCTAGAATCGATTGAACTTATACCCAAGTACAGGAACAGTCCACGAGCTTTCGTCCCAAATATGGCTACAAAAAACATAACCGAATTTTGCTCCTGTTTGGCCCAATAAACGCCTGCTCTGCTGCAAGAATGGCGTAGGAATCAATATTCTTTGCCGTCCGGTTTACTTTGATGAATTCCCTTGTCAGGATTTATGCATGTAGACGAGAAACCGCAGGATGTTGAGCACACACGATCCATCAATGCCAATTGTAGCCTATTTGTCAAAGTCGGGCCCCCGGGCCCAGTAATCAGAAATGGGCGGTGGGCAGTTTGGTCTGGTTGTTTTATATTGAACCGGTTTGTGAGTTCTCCTTAGAACGACGGGCATAATTCTACCGTAATCTCCACACGAAGTACAGTTACTGAAGAAACTTCCATTATTCGAGGACTCGTAGCGGTTTTGGCGATAGAAGGGCAACTCATTTGTACCGTCAAGGTCCTTGCTCATTACCTGCTGTTTGTCGGCGTTGCGACGTGTCCTTGAAGAGGGTTTTTCGCGGTTGCCAGGTAATTTAGGGGTGGTGGCAGTATTTCATCTCGGCGGTCAGCCCCCTGCCACTACCAGAAAAGAATCGGTGCTGAACAGTTAGTTTGTCGACGGCAACCCTGGCGAAACTCACCACAAGTGGAACTACGTTGGTGTGGGTGAGGCGCTCTATAAGGCCGAGGCGACTGGTTCGCGAATCCACGATTCGCTAGACGTTTGCGGGCCGCGTCGCAGGCCAGTGACATCACTCCGAATGGCTTGGGTTCCGCAACGCAGACGCAGCGACGCTATGCGAATCTGACCCGCGAATTGCTCGTACGAAATCTGCCGAATTCGCAAAGGTCTGACATCGGCCTAAAACATACAGTAAGTATTGATCCGCTTGACATTCGTTGCTCGCAGCGAAGGATATAGCCCTGCTATTATGCGTGGCTGTCCGCGCGACGCTCAGCGCCATGCACGCCCAAAGTCGCAACGCCTGAGCGTTCTAAGCTGTTATGCAGTCACAGCGTCGGATAAGGAGGGCACAACGCGTTCGTCGCACCAATCTGACTTGGGGGAGAACGGGGTCTTTTTCGGGTTTTACGGCCGCGTCTCATCGTTTTTTCTTCAGCCCTACACCACTGACCCGTCTACCTTATTTCTAACGAGCTTTCTTTTCGAAAACCCCTTTTCATAGGAAAATGTGAAGCACTTTGTATTGATTGACTAGTTGTTGCGGAACAAGTAAAAAAACATGAGGCTTAATTTTGGGCGACGATAAATGTATATGGAAACGATCTAGAACCTGAGAGATCTAAGTCCGGGCGCGGAGAGAGGAAACAGGCGGAAGCAGAATAGGCGAACGAGAGAGGCGCAGACCTAACGCAGTACTACAGCGTCGGCGGTAGTATTGGCTCCACTGGGCTTTCGCATAAAGGCAAATATAAGCTACCAGACGTTGTTTTTACGAGCGGTAGCTGCGCCCCAAAAATGGCCATCCTTATGGCGGTCTGCAGCCTAACTGTCTCGTCTTCGAAAGCGATAATCGTGCTGGCCCGGTCTGTACTGCGCGCTCTCGCATAACAGCGGTCTACTTAAGTGACCTCGTATATTCAAACTAGCTGGACCAAAACCCACTCCCACAATGACGTCCTGGAAACTGCTCGACCCTACAGCCATCGTGATCACTGCCTTTGGGGCATGATATGATGACATGCAAGTGCTTTATGGTTCTAAATGAAGGTAGGTATGCACGGCGTATACCAGTTACGAGATGGTATTGAATGGTCTTTTCTCAACCCTTTCAATTCCCACAGTCCCACAACCTCAATCAATGTTCCCTATTCCCCATTGATTTTCGACTTTTTCGATACCTCGACTTCCGTCAGCACTTGAAGACGTTGGTCATCAGTCAGGCGACTATGGGCGATATTTCCGAAACGTCGTCAATCACCCGCCGACCGTCTCAAGCACTCGTTTCCTCCCTCACCCAACCCATGTCCGTGCCTCGGTCGGGACAAACACAGCGCTCTGAAATATTTACGGCTTGCAGGAGCGGGAACGTGTTTCGTGTTTGCGATCACGACATTTTTCATGAAATGACATGTGCCGACATTGAAAACAGGCGGCCGTTTCATTTATCACCAGCGCCAGGATCGCCCCTTATGGTGGCAGGCGCTAAACGCCGTTGAAAAGGAAGCAATAAAAGACTTCTTCCTAGAGTCTTGTTTGTGAGCTCACAAGGGCCTTATGCTAAATGTTGGGGATGAGTCGGGGATGGGGAAAGGTTGTGGGAGGTTCGTCGCAGGACCCACGGAGCATCGGGCCGCTCCTTTGATTTTGTAGCTTTGTTTCCATTCTTTCATTGCTGTTTTTTGGATGAAGAGAAGGTATTGACGAGCGAATATACAATCAGGAACAGTAAAAAATGGAAACAAAGCTGCAAAATCAAAGGTGCACGCGCTTGCAAGTGAGGGACCGGCCGAGAACCCTCTCAATCGTTCCCTCTCGTCATCCCGTGCATTCAGCATACGGCCGCGGCGGGTTTCCACAAGGAAAGTGCTGGCGACTAGGGCCCCAGTAGTTTCTTGTGTGCTACAGAAGCACTGCGCATTCCATTTTGGTTCAGAATATGTCGGAGTGATGGCCACGCCCATATGGGCGTGGCTTCCCTTATACTCGTTATCTTTTATTCAACTTTCTTTCAAGTAGAATACGAGTACAAATTACTTTGGCTGGTGCTCCATCTTCATCTCTCTTCCATGTGCATTATGAAAAATGAACTAGAACACCTGCGGCACAAAATATGGAGCAAAGAGGAAGGAAAAGCGCCGACAAAAAGACCACTGTTTTAGTTCAATAGCGCTGATTCCCCCGTACAGTTTTTTTTATATTGCCGCTCGGATAGTTAGCCGTGTAAACTCCCAACTATAGGAGTGAGCCATTTTGAAGTATAAAAATTTAGTTTATTTTATTGAAAAAAGGAAGGTGATGGGATGGCTCCAAATTATCCCAGCCTCTCAATAAATTCCTGCAAGCTCATTCTACTCAAGTAAGACTTACGGTAGTGAGAAGAAACACCGAGGGACCCAATAATGCGTTTACTCACATGTCAAGTAGAACTTCGCTTCAGATTCTCATTTGTGAAAGGGTCCGAAAAAGGACCACAACTCTGCGCTATCACTGAAGTACTCAAGTGAATGGGGATCAAAGAGTTTCAATGCAGTCATTTCAAGTCGCCGTCGCAGTCGCCGTCGTCATCAGTGGTCACGACCCGTCCGTCCAATGCAAACAGTCGAGAGTTGATAGACATACACACACCGTTCCTCTCTCTTCGCCTCAGTCACTCCTCGAACGACAGCTTTTTCGGAACGCACGAGTCCGCTTAAAACCGTAGTAATAGGCTCTTCGTAGACGTCTTGCAACCCTCGAGAAAGACAATGCACACCGTTGAGCGCCGTCGAGCGCGCAAACCAGCGGCGCTGAAACTCGCCCCTCGACCAGTTGTCCTGGTCGTGCGAGCGGACTGATCTTCGACAGCTGGGGAGGGCAGCGATAACGTCTATGGGTAGCCTATTGCATTTGGATTTTCGTCGTTCCTAAAACCGGTAATTCCTGGATCAGATTAAGAAAGGACAAGGTATAATGCCACTGCTAGCCACTGATTCTGGGATTCATCATACATACCATGCCTACAGAGAAACCTAAGAAGTCCCAAGAAAGAAAGAAGAAGAAAGTCTTGTTGCAATTCATCTAGTTGAGGAGGGGAGAGGGTAATATGGAGAGAGCTAATTTCGTTCAGTAGGAAAAACTACACGATCGGGCGGAAGTGGTGCAGTGGCATATGGAATTACTTACCACGTACCCTGCTTGGAGTTTAAGTCCCAGGTTGTGCGCCATCCCGGCTGAATCAGCTTTCTCTTCCCTGGGTCGCTTAGATGATACTATAATTGTCTGAGAGCTTTAAAACACTGAGAAGTATTGCAGCTAGCTTGCGCATGCCATTGAAGAGACTATGTCGCATCCAAAATGGCACCACAATTCTGAATGGGGGTGGAATGCGTGGCGCATACCATGATTAAATTGGTCAACGCTGGAATCGCTACCCTTTTATCCTTTTTACTATACAGTCACAAAGCTTCCATACCTGAGTTTACATTCCCGATTTTTCC